CGCCCCAGCTTCGCTCCTCTTTGGAACGGCGCCGCGTCGAAGGGGCGGTAAATAAACAAACCTTGCCGGTCCCGGACACGTGTAATCGCAATGTATACTGTCAAGGGCTCTCCGGCTTCGCCGATCTGCAGGTCTGCGACCACTCCCTCCGGACAAGTCTGTCCTTGAGCGGCGTGGGCAGTCGTCGCAAAGGCGGGCGCCAGTGGGAATTGCTTGCGTGTCACGCGTAGCACCGGGCGCCGCCGCCCTTTGTCCAAGTACCATGGTTTCTTTTGCGCAGGTACTGGATACACATTGTCTTCCAGAATCCCCTCCACGCGCCAAGTGTCTTTGGTGTGAAATCGGACCATAATACAACCAGGCAATTCGTTCCAAATCTTTGTTTTTTCTTGGCTCTTTAGGTCTGAAGCTTCCTTTGGCCAGGCCCAACCAACCACTTCCCCCGGACACCCGCGGAGAATGCCGCGGCGACGATCTAAGTGGTCCGTGGCCGTCACCGGCAGTCCAACGCAAAGGGGTAACACCCCATACAACGACCCACAGTCCTGGTCATGTCTTTGCAGCCACGCCAACTTTTCTTTGGCCAAGTCGGGTTTCTCGCGTAGCGCCGCGCTGGAAATGCAGTCCTTTGCGATGGCGTAGTGCAGTTGCTGCCCGGCGGCAGCAGCCCAATCTTTCGCACGCAGTTTGTTCACGTGATATTTTATTGCGTTGGTTGCGAAAATAGCTTTCGCACGCCCAAAGTTGTGCGATGGTCGAGCCCCCGCATCTACTACCCGCACCTTGGACGCACGCTCCCGCTTACATGCACCGCACTCTCCCTCGCGAATTTTCGCCGGCGTTGCCTTTCCTGTCATCAAGGCGTGGCAGGTTGCGCAGCCACAATCTAGTCCCTGTCCATTCCAACTCCCTGGCAGATCCGTCTCAGCTCCATGCAGGAAAGCGTGGTTTGTCGGGGACAATGTCCCGTTGCGAATCTCGTTCTGAAGTGTCTGCAACCACACGTCGTGCGTCCGCTCGCATTCAACGAGTTCCGTCACGCCGTGGAGCCCTTGTGGCAAATTCCCCCCAAACGAGTTCTTGACCGTGGATTGTGTGCGCCACTTTCTTGCTCTTACTCTTCGTCAGCCATTCCCCTGGGACATCCCCTAAAAAAGTTCCTCTTGGTGGAGGCAGCTGCCACATGTCGCCGGACAGAATGACGTTCAGGCCACCAAAGGGGCGCGCAGTGGCTGCGTCCTGTGCGTACTTGCCCTGCGCTAAGTCCCGGACCAGCTCGCGGCAACGCAACTCCAACCGAGCCAAGAGTTCTGCGCTGACCATGCTAATCTCATCTATAATGAGCCATCGCCAACGTAACGCTTTCTCGCTTAACTCCAACAGCTTGTGCCCGCTAATGCGTTCGTCACCCAAGCCCTGCCAGTTTAACCCCAAGGCATGATGGATCGTGTCGCCGTCCAAGTCGTTCGCCATGACGGCTTGCAGCGTCACTACTTGAAACTCTTCTCCTTGTTTCCAGTGTAGCGTTCTCTCAAACAACTCCTTTCGGATGAGATTCAGTACGTGCGATTTTCCTGTCCCGGGGCCTCCATGCACCGCCCATCGCAATGGCTCCACCGCCACCGTGCCTTCCGCAGCCTCGTCCATGACTTGCTGCGCAACCTTCTTGCAGACTTCGGCTTGTTTGGCGTTGCAGCCGCCGTTGCCTACACAGGCAGCCCAAGCCTGAATCTCTCTGTTTGTATCTGTCACGCTCACGATCTTTGCCTCAACTGTTGGCTCCCACACAGTCCTCTCTCCGCGCGCAATCTTTTGCTTAGGGTTGCGCCGCGCATTCTTAACCACGGCGGCGCTGTCCACGCCCTCGCATGGATTCGGCCTTGTGCCTACCGTGCCTTCCGAGGGTTTCCAAATTGCATTGGCTTGTTGCATCGCTGCTACAAGGAGGCTACGGTGCGTAACCCATTTTCCTTTCTTCTCATCGCCGTCGGCAGGCCCGACATGTGTTTCACATGCTTGCGCCAACAGTTCCGCAGTGACTACCAGATCTTCGTGGTCGTCTTCGTCATCGCTGTTCTCGCCTTCGGTGTCTGGCCGGACGCGGTAGACCCCTAAGAAATTGCTCACGTGCCGCTTTGTTTCTTCACATGGCAGTTCCAACAGCCATGCCCGTAACGTTTCCGTCCAACTCTCTTCTTCACATCGCAAATGACGCACGTAAGGCACGGCTGTGTCGCCGCGGCCCTTCTGCAAGGTCCACGCCTGGAAGTATGCCAAGGTTAACTTCGCATTGCGTTCTGGGTCCTCGCCCCATTTACTCGGCACCGGCGCCGTCGCAAACTGTGGGCACAACGGTCGCAAGCGTCGGCTGAGATACCAGCCGTGCTGCAATGCGCGGCCAGCGCTGCTGTCGAAGTAGATTTTGTTTCTTGCACTGTGGGTTGCGCTGCGCCGGACGTCGACGCCCGGCACCAAGCGAACGCTGGCATCGTCCGATTTCGCCGCGGTGAGTTTTGCCTCCCCTGTGGGCGTTAGCTGTACATCCCACTTGCCACGCGGCTGCTGCATCCACTCCATGCGTGTCTGCGGCATTTTCAGTGGCAAGCAATCCCAATACATAGTAAACTCGTAGGGAGACAAAAACCAAACATCGTCCTGTTTTGGTCGGTGTCCGTAAACTTGTGCCGGATCCATTTCTTGCAGCTGCCTTTGCTCGGCCGATCCTTTGCCGGTCCACACGTATTTCTTTCCCGCCGTCCACTCTTCTGCCTCAGCAAATGCCGTGTTGACCGTTTGCAAAAAATTCCTGCCTGGGAAGCTGCAAAATGCGGCCGTACTTATGCGCTCCGCGGCTACGACGTTGCCTGCTTTGCTGTGAGCTCGCAGGTTACAACACTCAACTTGCCCGCGGACGATGCCTTTGCAGTACGCATCGCTCAGGAATCGCGTGAGATGCCTTTTTGCTAGTTTATCGATTGGCTCCTGCTGGTATTTGCTATGCAAATGTTGATGCCCTTTTTGAAACTCTTTAATTTCATGAAACGCCATTGGTTGGTTCTTGGCACAGTAATCTGCACAGTATCCTGTCTGCGCATCCTGCGCGCGCTGCACGGCACGGATGATCTCCCGTTGTTGCTGCTTAGACATGGCTTTTCCACATTGATCGCAGCCAAATGGTTACCGATAAGGCAGTTGGACGTCCACATTCACGCCACGCAAAGCCGCCAACAGTGCCGGATGACAGCAATTCAGCCACTCATTTCCGTACGGACCGTGTAACGCTCCGAGGCGGTTTTTGCGCCCCTGCGTAGACATACCAAAGCCTTCCGCTTTGCATGGACACAACACCTCACCTTTGTCGGATAGCCAGGCTGTTCGCGGAAACTCGCTTTTGCAAGCTCCAGGCTTGTCTGCCTTTTGGCACCCGTGCAACGGCACTCGTTCTCCTGTTTCTGCGTTGAGCGGATGGCAATGGTGCTGCTTTAGGAACTGTAATGTTGCCACGTTCTCCGCTAAGTACTCTCTGGCCCATGCCATCGCTTCCTCGCGTTCGTCCGCCTCCGTCGCGCTGGCACGGCGACGCTGGTAAGCAGGACATGCGATCATTATTTGCTCCTCTTTGTGCTCTGGCCACGACGCTTCTGCGGCCCTTATTCCTTCCTTGATTTCTCCCTGGCTCAGCCCTTCGTAGACGCCGTGCATGACATGACCACTGTATAACAGATAAGCTTCACGCAACTCTTGCAGCTTCTCGGATCCCAAGGCAAAAATTTCTTCTAATGCTGTGTGCTGGTGCAGGCACTGGACGAAACATTGGCAATGGGCGTGCAACGACCCCGTTGACTTTTGTGCTTCGATAGTCACGTACGCCGCATCCATTCGGCCAAACACGCCTCCCACCAAGCTCGCACTACTCCCGCCCAGGCTTTGACAAGGTTTGTACGGGGATGCTACTAAGTTACAATCGGGGCACGCCGCGCAGACCCGCAAACCAAACAAATGCTCCATGACTAACAAGACCAACACTCTGAACCCATCCACGCTTGCCAGCGGGTCTCGCGCCAAGGTTTGCCGCCGCTGTTCCCATGTAGGCAAAGCTCGGCAAAACCTTTCCACGTGGATCGGCCACGTATAATTCTCGTCCAACGGCGGGTAATCTCTTGCGCTCACGTCCCAGTTTTGACACATGGACGCTGCTCGGACGGGGTCACTCCAGCGTGCTCGGGATAGACGTACGTACAGCAGTTGGTGCGCCTCGTCAGGGGAAAACGTCACAAAAATCGGCGTCCCGTACCTGATTCGCAAAGCTTCGATTTCGAATCGCATGCGCTTTCTGGCTTCTTGCGTTCCTGGCATGCTTTGCGCAGTGTGCCGCATGCTCTGCGCCAACTTCCGCGCAGCCGGCCCCAGGCCGCGCACGTACGGCAGTTTGCTTACGTCTCCATTCACCGGCTTGGGCTTGCCTCCTTTACTGATATAACAGCCTTGCAGCGAACGCAGCAACTGTAGCGCACCGTCTTCAATGTCCTTTGGCGTTAATCTGCGCATCTTGCCGGTCTCGTCCTCCATGACCGGTCCTTCGAAGACGGCTAGACTGCGACACAGATTCAACGCTGAACGAAAATGTAAATTCCATGCGGCAAACCCGAAAACCCAATCCCTGCCGATCTGGGACTCGCACCGTCTTGCCATCACTCGCACCCACTCGTGCAACTCCATCCGTGGCGCGTCTTTCTCCCGTCGGTATCTGGCAACGTTGCTCCACGCCGCTGGATCGGGCATGCCAGTGCAGTACTTGAAAATATACGGAAAGGCAAAGCCAAAGTATTGCGGACGAAACTGGTCCAGGAGCTTGTTCCCCGTTCTTAAGACAAACTCCGCCGCGTGTTCTCCGCTTGCCCCTAGCTTTTGCGCCGCGGTGGCTTGCAGTGCCGATACATGCTGTGCGTTGACATCTGCCATGCCCACGCTTGTTCTTTCACCGACTACTGCGTTGGGTTTAGCCATGTCTTTCATCTCCGCTTCGAGCTCTTGTGGTTCCAGTTCTTCTCGCACTGGAGTAGCTGCCTTTTGCCGCATAATTCGATCTAGATCAGCATCGTAGGGTAGTACCGCAACTCGTCCGGGACCCCGTCCTCTGGCAAGCCTTGTGCCTTGCTGTACATGCTCTCCATGCACAGACCGTGGAAGGCCGGGTGACCGCGCGCAACGGCATCTTCGAGCAGGCGCACTACGACGGCACGGCGAACACGCGCTTGATGGATTATACGCCCCAGGTCTCCCGCCTCTTGCGGGCGCGGGGTCTTTACTATGACGCTCACAAGTTCACGCAATTTGCTGCCCGTGTGCGGCAGTGCCGCCACACAACTCCGCTTCGCTGCTTCGCCGTCAAGCTCTTGCAGCTGCTGTAGCAAATCCTCCCAGGCAAGCGGAAACGTTGTTGCGTTTCCTCGGACGGCCATACGGTGCCTATTCATCCATGCATCTTGGTCCAAAGCCCGATCCCCACGCAATTTTTGTTCCAAACTGAAACAAATCATGGTGGTCAAGCAAGGGCTGGCACAGAGCATTTCCATCACGGTGACTTCTGCCGCAAACACGTCCCGCGGTCCGTAGTATACCATCATATCGTTGCTTAATGCTGCAGCAGGTTGCTTTCCATGCCACACCAAATCCATTTTACAGCTTCTGCAGATCGGCGTCCAGCAATGCTCGCAGAGCTTCTCCGGCGAGCACCGTTTCGGACACACCTTGTCTTCCGGGCAACAAATCACCTCAATCAAGCCGTCGTCAAAACTTGCTGTTGCACTCCAATCCTTCAACTCCTCGGTCATTTCTGTTTGGGCAAACACCGTTGCGGTCTTGACGTACTTCTCCTGGAAAGTGCACATGCCCAACAATCTCTCTGCATCCGAATATGACCGCCCAAACAACATTTGCTGCTTACAGTTCACTGGCTGCACCCACGTTATGTCTTGGTTTTTGCCGGTTCCCATATGCGGATATTTCCTTGCGCAAACAAAGCAGATCAGACAAGAAAGATTATCTGTCTCTAAAGTCTTTTGATACGCTCGCAAAGCTCGCCTGTCTATAGAGACATTTGCCACGGGGGGCGCAGCTTGGCAGATCCGGGTGACGGCTTCTGTGTACTTGTGAATCACCCATGTTCCGTCCAGGCCTGCGCCGCACGCTTTGGTCACTGCGACGGCATGGCTTGCGACAAGGTGCTTCATTAATTCTTCTTCTGTCTCAGCTGTGAAGGCACAGCCAGCAAAGGCGCAATGACAGAGCGGCAAATCAAAGGCCTCACGGCTGGAGGCCAATGTTTGGTCACGTTCTGGCCAAGTCGGGTAGGGCTGTAACTGCATGCTCAAGGCATGGACTTGCTCCTCCGCACGTTTCCGCGGGTCCGTCGATGCGGCCGCGCACCGCAACACAAACATGTCTGCTTCTGCTTCCTCGCCCCCCCTCGCGGCGGGAAGCTACGGGCGACTCTGTGCGGTCGCCTGCGCGCGCTCCTGCGGCAGGCGTCTTTGTGCGCAGGCGCTTGCGTGGCGCGTCGTCTTCGGCCTTCTGCTGTCTGGCTGCCGCCATCCCGCTTCGTTTCCGCCCAATTTGGCTAGCGCGTAGTTCCGGTTCTGGGCAGCCGCGCCTCTCCACTGCCGTTTTCGGGCGCTCCGCCGTGGGCTGCTCTGCCGTACCTAACCTTTGCGGTGGCCCCTGCCTGTAGCTGTTACAATAACCTAGCCATTGGTCAAGCAGCCGCTGCGACGCGTGCCATCCTGAGTCGGCAAAGGCAAGGCCGGCTTGGTGCAAAGTATGGAGCTTCAAGCTCAACCTTTCGCGGTCCGCGCCTGCCGCGACGATGTCGCGAGCATCGCTTTCTTCGATCTTGATGTGGGCGGCTCGTGCGCGAAAGAAAGTTTGCAGCAGCGCCTGCACTTCCTTGACACTGACATGGCTAGCTGTCGCCACAGTACCAATTGTCTCCGCCGCCTGCACTGCCACCTCGTCATTGTCCCGCACACCTCCAGCAACGACCCTGTCTTCGCTCTCTCTCTTGCACAACAGAGCATCGAAATGGTACCCCTGACCTGTTGCGAGGGTGTGGTTGTGGACATGCAAAACCGCGGCGACGCCACCGCCCGCTCCTGCACATGGCACATCTACGTACTCCAACTCACCCGGCGCTAGCTCAACCTCAGCCATGTCCAAAGGGTCATAGAACCGCACACGCACGACTGTGTTTCGTTTCCATTTTTGCTCCAAGAAAAACTTAACGATGCGTGGGCTATCTCTGTGCCCGTCTAGATAAACCCCCCTTGGCACGCCGTGCTGCACATGAAGCATCTCCCGGCACTCCCTGCAGAGGCGTTCGCGATCAGCCAAGGACAAGTCCTGCGGGGCTAAGCCCTGGTCCACGAGTCCTAACAGTACAGAATCGATCAAGCAATTGTTCACGCCATGGGACGATGCTACCCTCACACGCAACCCCTCTTTGGCTTCCAGGCCCTGCAGACGCTCCAGATTTGCCTTCGCTCGAATAGGTGCGTTGTGCCCGGCAATTTGCAGAAAACGGCTTGCCACGGCCATAGCGTTGGCGTCTGAATCGTCTTGCTCCAAGTCTTTCCACCCGTGCCACTCGGCTACCCAGCTTTGCTGCAGCAAGGCCTCGACTTCCACTGGGTTGCTTAACAACGACAGGCACACAGCCCGAACCAGATCTTGTCCGTTACCTCTGTCCCCGCCTCCGCAAAAGCGATGCTTCTTGCCCTCTCCTTTCCCGGCGAAACAGCCCTCTCGGGCACGGGTTATACCCGGTAAGCGCATTACGGCACCTCGCGCCTCTTTTCTTAGCGTCCCGAAGGCAACGCGCCAGGCGCCTTCCCGGCACCTTCAA